CTCACAAACATTGTATTTACTGAATTTTTGGCTCTCACACATATAGTTCAGTTCACTTACTAGTCATTCGCCTGAATCAATACTTCTTTTTGTGTTATTATCAGACAATGTCAATCATCATTCAACTGAAATCATATCTGATGCCAAATCATGCCGACACGTGCTCACACCATTCTCCAATTCTATCACATATTCAGTGCCAAATATCACCACATCTCTGTCACTAAACCTTTATGAGTAAAACTAACCATTTCATAAAATATTAACACTCTAACACTAGTAGAACGCATATGATGACAGATTTCAAGTGAACAAACCAGCCTGAATTCCCAACTGATATCTCAATTGACAGTAGATCAGATACGTGACGATCACACAATCGTTGCTAATTCTCAATGTGCTGATACATTTTAAATGTTATTCAATGATAAATCTTTCTTGTGCACTCGTTTCCCAAGAGGTAATAATAATAACAGTTTGTCACAGATCGTCAATATCATTTCAAGTGTTGTACGTATAAACGACAGATCAACCACTGTTCATATTACATGAAACATCTGTATATTATGACAATGCACGTGAACTATCCTCCATCATGAAAGCGATATTCCTTCATTAAGCAAACCGAATTACTGCAAATTTATCCATGTGTCACAAGTATTTCAGTCGAATTTCAATAACCCGCATGCTCATTCATACAACACAGAAATGAGATAGTATTTGAGAAAGAATTCTATTTCATCATCAACTGCACACAAAGCACTGACCGTTCATTCACTCTACAACAATTACATTGTCACTAACTCACCATTCACATCTTGTACTAAGAAAATTGAAATCAATGACACAATACCAATCAACATTTCAATTCCATGTGATACCAAACCAACTTTCACCTACATTAATACTTCTTCATTAATGGAACGAGTGAAGGACATGTTATGACTGAACATATAGTTTGCTCAGTGTAAACAATGTATTCAATTAACAAAACGCTTTGTTTACCTTTAGTTCACGTTTCATGCAATTTGATGATAATCGAATCAATTAATTACACTTCATTCTTGCTTATATAGTGGGAACATATGGAACTCAAAACAACAGTCAACTAAAATCAAAGTATTTATAAACACTTGTGTACTCACTATACTCAATATCTATTGGCTGGATACCATAAGCAACAGACTACTGTGTTAATCAACCAGCCAACTTCTAGTTCTAGAGGAATTATGAGCAGACGTTGAAAGTTCATAAGACATACACTGAGGAAGTCATCAAACTGAATCACGAAGCAAGCGCTAACTGAAAATCTTGAAGGGATGATTGGAAGCAGACAGGAATAGGATTGTCCTGCATAGAGTCCGATGGAGAATTTATTTATTTAATTGGACACATAAATATTGGTACAAGAGTGCACCAAATATATATGAGTCATACAAAATAATCAGAATGCACTATATATGAATTGATTTTATCACTCACGCCACCAACAGCACTTATGCGGCTACCCAGATACACGAACTTCTCGACTACTTCTATCTGCTCACCATCCAGAGTGAGTACAGGATTAGAATCCTGCCAATCTTGTTGAAGTACTTCACACTTCGAAGGTGCAAAGCACAGACCGTACATACGGACACTGATTCACATCTGATTGAGTGCGGATTGCATAGCTTGGGCATTATCACACAGTAAGACAATATCATCCGCATACTCAAGGTCGAGAAATCTTCCTTCAGGCAACAGATCCACACCACCATTACTTACATCCGCCAGAGCTGTTTCCAGAATGTTATCGATGGCAAAGTTGAGGAGGAATAGTGAGATTGGGCATCCCTGCCTAACTCCACTGCTTGAATGGAACAATGGAGAAAGGTGGTTGTATGCCCTCACTCTGCCTGAGGTGTTTGTGTATAGGGATTTTAGGATGTTAATAAACTTCTCAGGCACACCCTTCTTCAATAGACAATCCCAGAGAACAGTCCTGTCCAACGAATCGAAGGCAGCCCTGATGTCAAGAAACACTACGATTGTTGGCCTTTGATAAGTATGACGGTGTTCTAACATTTGGTGGAGAGTGAAGATATGATCAATACATCCTCGACCAGAACGAAACCCAGCCCGCTCCACGCGAGTCAATCTTTCTCGGGTTTTGAACAATTACGAAGTGCTGTGACTTTATGTCCGGCTAGTTATCACGTGATTTATCCACTAATCAAAATACGACTTATACAATCTTAGCGCTATGCCAAATCAATGACGTTCGATCGGTACGAGCAGCCTAGCGTCCTCATTGGTCTCATGTTCGCCTAGCCCGTCCACTTGAGTCCAGAACACCAATACCAGCTTTCACTATGTGAAACATATATTCCAAACATACTGTGTTTATGTATCAAACAAACAGACCACAACGCACCATAAAATAGGAAATAACATTTGTACACAATAAAGCCAAAAAGTGGCTGTGAACGTGGGAGACAGTAGTCAATAAACTGAACATAGCTTAAGAACAGTAAATCGCACAATAATAAATCAAAGCTCAAAACAAAACTTATAGCAAGGGGAATATAGATATACATAATCTAGTTACTGAGTATTTATAACATGAGAACATATAAATAATATTTGTTCATTAATAGTCCTCGGGAGTTACCCGTAATTTAATCCTCACTAGGATATAACACGAAGTATGACGGAAGCCAATGGCTTGGACGCAATCTGAAGAAGACTTATCCCCCAATAGCTGTTACAGGAACGACGTGAACCTTTTTTAAAGACAGGGACAACTATCGACTCATTCCATGACTTTGGTACACTCTCTAGTTTCCAGACCTATGTAAGCAACGTCGTCAGTCCCTTAGTCAGAAAGTCACCACCATCTTTAAAAAGAGCCGGAGGTAAGTCGTCTGGGCCCGGTGATTTGTAACGTTTCAAGAGTTTGAGTTCCTTTCGGACTTCCGCCTCGTTTGGTGGAATAGTCGTCACCGGCCATGGAGGACAGAACAGTCTGACCGATGTTGCCAAAGCAGCAGGTCAGTTTAACTGCCCGTCAAAAAATTCTGCCCATCGTCCAAGACGTCGATGGATGTTAGTGATTGGCGTTCCGTCATCCTCACAGATTATTTCGCTCACACCAGATTTCTTGCTGCCAGTGGCTCGGATGAGTTGGAAGGGCTTGCAGTAATTACCAGATGCAGACGCTGCTTCCAGCTCGTTAGCACGCTCCGACCACCAGGTTCCTCGGTGCTTACGCAAGCTTTGCCCGATTTCATTACGTAACATCCTTCGTTTGTGGTCAAACTCACGGTCACTCGGGGTAGACCGACGGGCTTCAATCAGTTGTAAGGAACCAGAAAAAACCCAGTGCTTGTAAGCGGGACGTTTCGCGAACCCGCAACAGACTTGACCCGCCATTTTCATGGCGTCATGCAATTGCAACCAATGCTCATCTATACTTTTCGGTGGAATGGTAGCTAGCCTAGAAGCTAGCTTGATTCGATACTTACTAGCAACAGAAGTTGCAACCAGCTTGCTAACATCAATCCTTTGGTGGCGGTCACTCCGTCGGCCACTGAAAAGTAAGGTAAGATTGGCGCAGACCAGGGCATGATCAGAGTCCAGAGAGGTACTCCAAAAGGAGCGGCAGTCTTGTACACAACCACGCCAGCGGTAGCTGATCGCGATGTGATCAATCTGAGTCCAGGCTTGAGATGCAGAGGAAGAACGCCAAGTGGCACATCGGCGATGACTGTGCCGAAAGTTAGTGCTAGCCAGAAACAGGTTGTGGTCTGTGCATAGTTGCAGTAGACGTTCCCCGTTATCTGTCCTGCGACCAACAAGTCCCCATCGGCCACCTAAACGACTCTCTTCTGTGCCTAGACGCCCGACCTGAGCATTCAAGCCTCCAGCTAGTACTACAATATCTGTCGAACGCACTTTCTGGAGAAGAACAGTTAACTGGTGGTAGAATTCATCCTTGATTGCATCCGGGCTGCAATCTGTCAGGGCATAGCCGATGACGAAAAGACATCGTTTCTTACATCTATTTCTTCTCACTTTGATGGAACTTTTTAATCTAACAGCACATAATCGACTGTTAATGGTGATCCAATCGATTAGTGCTGCCTCAGCTCTAGCGCTTAGTGCGACACCAACGCCAGCAAGACCAGACGAAGATGCCACAGGGTCCTCGGATAGACGCACATGAAACAAGCTTTTTGAAGCGACAGATGGACAGCGAATTTGTAGTACTTCACCAGAGTCTTGAATACGGGTCTCGGATAGACAACAAACGTCAATATCAAGACTTTTCAAAGACATAGCCAGTCTGAATGGTGCACGTGGTTTCATAAAAACTGCTTCAGTATTCGTATTCGGTGGTAACATACAATTTTCAACCAGGCAGTGACTCGAGAACGTTTAAATAGAGCTGAATGTCCACCATAGGCGAGCTGCTGTATAAGTCGAAAAATAAGGATAGAGTAGGAGTAAAAGAGAGTCAATAAATGACGTAGTAAATAATAATAATAATGTGAATTATTTGACTGTAAATCGAAGCGAGAATAGAGTTCTCAGTACATATCATCATTATATTTGTGTGTGGGCTGTGATACTGCCCGGGTGCCCAAACCGAAGCAGGTGGTTTTCTTAGAGGGGCACACCCCGAGCCTTTGACCTAAAGGTCTAACCCACAAGGCAGTGGAGCATCGTGAGGAGATGCAGCCCCATGGTAGCCGGTGACCAAAAATTGGTTCATACGCTAGTGGGCGGCCTATGCTCCTCTACGAGAAACAACAGGAATAAGTCTGCGTAATGCTCAGACATTAGCATTTGAATATATATGTACGTATAATAACAGCTTCCTTCGTGACACCACTATGACCATTCGAAGTGTTCATAGTATGTAATGTAATTCCCAGAGCTAACCAGCTCATATTCTGATAATCAAGATCGAATCTGAACTGGAAAGAGAATAGATCAAACTCAAAGAAATGTAATTTGTTGATACTATGTAGTTAAGTATATAGAAAACAATTATCAAATTTTACAAGTACCACTGATGAAAGACTTCTCACGTATCCGAATAGATGTAATCGTCGATAAAGCGTACGAACAACTGGAATAACTTTGTTTCATGAACATACTTTAGCAAATCAGTCCAGTCTCAAAAAGTTATTTGACTAGTGATTTCTATACAAAGCGGATTTAGAATAAAATAATCTCGCTTTACATAAACTAAAAAGGTTGTAAGTAGGTACTGAATTACACCAATACAGTCTCTTTATTACTTTGAAAAAGAATAGATTTATTTCCATAGACAATATCCATGCCAAAAATGTTTACACATCTACTGAAAGAGGATATGAGAAATGATCTGTACAAATGATTGATATTCAAGTAGTTACATTCAACATAACTAATTAAGGGTTTGATTTTTGGCATAATTTCAAATATTTTCGTTCTATTATACTTACATTATATATACATAACGTGATCAATAAATCTATTACAATCATAGCTGAATCTGATTCCCATTTTTCTCCATCTCTATTAATTTCATTTATTTCCTGGATTAATACTGTTTTACCATTGAATATGATTGACAAAGTCACATCAAAAAGTTGTACCTGACAAAAAAGTTAGTTAAAAATCAATACAGCTCATTTATTTTACACTTTAAAACGATATGAATTATATTGATTTATGAAATGAAAAAAGAATACTGTATACGTTACCTAGACATTTGTAAACAGAAAAAACTAGTAACCAGAAATTCAATAAAAAATAATCACTTTATTTGTACAATGAAGATGACATAAAATAAAAATAATAAAAATAAATATTATACAAAAGATACATTTGATATACATAAAATAAAGAAAAGAAAACATTATTGAAATAAATGAAAAACTAAATTTTTCATTCTATTATAATGGTTGTATAAAAAATAAGTATTTCTCTTTTAGCAACAACAATACACCTGACGACTGGAATAACGAAGACTTCAAACATCAGTTACTAAATAATGAAATAAACAAAAAAAAGGAACATCAGTTAGCTGTTGACAATTAAATATCACAATATGAATGACACATTATAAAATTAAGGGATACTATGAATCGTAGAGATAAAGTGAAATATGGGTTATACAGTAAAAAGAAAAACAAAACAACTCTAATTAAATTTGACCACCAAATTGTTCAAAATCACAAATTAATAAGAGTGTTACAGTGAGCAGTAGGTCACAATATACACAAAGGGAAAAGCAAGATTCTCCCATACAACACAGCATGCACCAATCCAATCACAATTGACGGAGAAGATTTGGAAGATGTAAAAACCTTTACATATTTGGGCAGTATCATTGATGAACACGGTGGATCCGATGAAGATGTGAAGGCGCGGATCGGAAAGACAAGAGCAGCATATTTACAACTGAAGAATATCTGGAACTCAAAACAATTGGCAACCAACACCAAAGTCAGAATTTTCAATACAAATATGAAGACAGTTCTACTGTATGGGGCGGAAACCTGGAAAACCACGAAAGCCATCATCCAGAAGATACAGGTGTTTATTAACAGTTGTCTACGCAAAATACTTCAGATCCGTTGGCCAGACACTATTAACAACAACCTACTGTGGGAGAGAACAAACCAGATTCTAGCGGAGGAAGAAGCGCTGGAAGTGGATAGGACACACATTGAGGAAAACACCGAACTGCGTCACAAGTCAAGTCCTCACATGGAATTCTCAAGGCCGAAGGAGGAGGGGAAGACCAAAGAACACATTACGCCGGGAAATGGAGATAGAAATGAGAAAAATGAACAAGAATTGGATGGAACTAGAAAAGAAGGCCCAGGACAGAGTGGGTTGGAGAATGCTGGTCGGCGGCCTATGTTCCGTTAGGAGTAACAGGCGTAAGTAAGCAATGACAAATAAAAACTATTAGGCTTAAAAGTTTACAGTTAATACTTACTAGAAAGAATAGAAATGAGAAAACATTGATTCAATTGTAACATCTATAATGTGATATATAAGTCAATAACAATAAACCATCAACAGATAAATAGAATTTCCTAATATGGTCAGTCAGTTGGTTAGAAATGTGATCTCTTTAAATTTCCTTATTTAATTTAGATGAGATTTTGGTGTAATTCTACAGTTCACTGTTGCATAAAATAACAAATCACCACATCGAAAATATAAATCTTATAAATAAGCAACTTAACTAATAGTTTAACGATACCAACACTTGAAGTTGAAATTAATAATAAAGGGATTTTTTTTCGAAGTTTAACATCAAGGCATTCGAAAACTTTTCATATATCATATAACTATTCGTTCAATTAGTGTTACTAATATGATGGAAAGAATAGTCAAAATTCGATTGATTTACTCATTATGAGCTTGGTTCAACATTAATTCCATTTTTCATTCAATGTGATATTTATTCAGTGTAGTATACGGTTTTCTTTTCTCGTATGATATATTATTCTGTACGATATTCTAGTATTTAATTGACATGAACTATGCTGAGTATGTGATTTGTTATATCTCTAAGTATTTTTCATATATGTGATTTCATTTTAATTATTAATCAAATTGGGTGTAAAATCAATATATAAATGAGTGTGCATTTGACTAGGGCAGTAGTCGTATTTTGGGGGTTAATAAATCTTCACTTTATACCAGTCTTTGTGTTCTTACCTTCGTGTCGTGGGAATTGCGGAGGTCCCTCGTTCCAAGTAGAGGTGATAAGAGTTTCCAACATAATAATCAACGATGACCAGATAATAAAATTAGCATTAAAAGAGCCAAAACAATCAGCATTCAACTGATAAGTTATAACAGTTTCAGTCAAACTTTCGCCTTTTGGCATTCATTTTCAAATACTTTAGATATCACTATCGTGTCAAATGACAAAATTGATGCTACTAGAATTGTTTTGCATTTAAAAATTGAAACGGATTCGTTTGACAAGAAATAATTAACAGTGTATCAGCTAAAATACTGTAATATCGGTCATACCGATGTAGCATTTTCACATATCACATTTAACAATGACCATTTACATATTTAAGTTAATATTTGTACATAAACATTAAACAAATCTTTATCTTTAAACAATTAACGACAGATAAACTGGAAAATAAATTGAAAAATATAGAAATAATTTACTATGAATTACCTTCGCATATAACATTCTTTCAGTCGACATCCTTCAATAGATTATATGGTCGAACTAAATACATGAAAATTCCGCTCCTAAAAAGAATTGGTTTTTAAAGTAAATCATCACAGGAAATGTTTAAGATCAACAAAAATATATAACACATACAATACATTAACTCCACCTGTAGCTCTCCCAGTACTGCCATTCCCAAGCTCACACAAAGGAGGAGAGTTTGGCGTGGGGTTGAATAAAGAATTATGATGCTTCATAGGCTTCACGAGGCCTATGCCCCTTCTAACAACCAGAGCAACAATTAATGTGGGTACATGGGACATTCGGACAATGTAAGAGGCCGAAAAGACCAGTCAAATAGCAACGGAAATGAGATACAATTCGGCGGTTCTCAGAATCACCAAAACCCATTGGACTCAAACTGGACAAAAAAAGATAGATTCGGAAGAAGTGGTGCTGTACTCTGGTCAAGAAGAGGAAAACGCTCCACACACTCGGGGAGTTGCTCTGATACTGTCCGAAGAAGCACGAAATGCATTTATAGGATGTGAATCTCAAGGATTCAGGATCATCAAAGCATCCCTCCAAACACAGTAGAAGGGAATCACAATGCATGTTATCCAGCATTACGCACTCACCAATGATAGCAACGACGACGATAAAGATCAGTTTTACGAGAGGCTGTAATCAATCATAGAGACCAGATAATCCTGATGGGAGACCTAAACGCCAAATTTGAAATAAACAACACCAGGTATGAAGATATCATGGAACGACATGGACCAAGAGAAAGGGACAAGAATGGTGAGAGACTCGCTAACCTATGTGCATTCAACAGAATGGTTATAGGTAGCACTATATTCCCACACAAACACATACAAAACGCTGCATGGATCTCACCGAACTACACCACGGAGAACCAAATAGGTCATATTTGCATCAGTAAAAAATTCAGAAGGTCAATGGAAGACGTTAGGATCAAAAGAGCGGGATCGTGGATACGCACTGCTGAGGAGTCCCACAATAGGGTGAAACGACCGTCCAGTGCTTCCAGGGTTTTAATGGTGGTCTAACATCAATTAGTTCATGATCGCATTATAGATTCCGCTGCGAACCACCTTTTATCTATATTATATAAATCTCTTACAAAAACAAAATAGTAACTAATATTTGATATTTTATTCAATCATACCTCCATGAACCGTTATAATATGTTCATTTAGTTTACTTCTTTTAAAATAATTTTTCTTGCATTGTTCCCAAGCGATCTTCACTCCTAAAAGTATATTTTATTGCATAAGGAAAAAACGAACTATTAAGTTCATTGGAATAATAAGTCACTTTATTTCTACTCCCAGTCATAATAAGATAAGCCCATAATGATTCTGTGACAGATATCCTCTCAAAAATATGCTAAACATTCACTGAAACATTCACTTAATGTCGTTTCTTTACTTGTACCTTCCCAATGTTATTTAGGACTGTAATTGATCAGTTTCTTGTTGGCATGTACATTCTGTGCAGATTGCCTCGATATTGCCTTAGGTTACAAGCTTATTAAGCAAAGATGAATAGTGGCTAGCAGTGGAATCCAGGACGCGCGTTTCGTCCCATTTGGAACTCATCAGCTGGATGTACCTGCATTGCAGAGTTGATCTTCACTCCGTGATTCGAACCCAGTACTGTTCGCTTCGAGTCCAAGAGTGTACATCAACTCTGAGATGCAGGTACATCTGGCTGACGGGTCCCAAATAGGACGAAACGCGACCTGGATCCCACTGCTAACCACTACCCATCATTGCTTATTCACTGGAACACTTATGTAGATATTCAACATTAGTGAATATGGATCTAAGATGAAATATCTAAGAATTGGAAGTAGTAGAATGTTAAATGTGTTCATTACTACTAAATCAAATCTTGTTACATTTTCATTTAACGCTTTTCACAACAATCATTAAAAGATGTTGTTATTCGTACACGTCATATGAGTAAAATTAAGTAATACCCCTTGATAACACATTTCACAAAAACAAACAATTAATCATTCAAGAAGATAATCCAAATAGAAATGTAATGATTTATAAGAATTTAAAATTTATATAATGTGCGTGAATTAATGATGTTGATCACTGAGTTGAATATATGATCCAATAGATGAATTCTGAATGTTTTATGCAATAAAAGATGGTCTCATAATTCTTCAAGCTAAACGACTCAATGGAACAAAACTAAATAAAGGCAATTAATTAATTAATTCATATATAAAAGTGATTTAAATGAAAAGTATAGGTTAACTTATGATATGATGAAAGTGTAATCCAGCATATAATTGCATGATGAAATATTATTATTATTATTATTATTATTATTATTATTATTATTATTATTATTATCAAAACTCACCTAAATGAACACGTCTCATGTGTTCCATTAAGTTGGATTTAGATGCAAGCCATCTATTACATTGATCGCATCGATATACTACTCCTGATGAAAAGATAATAGTTAATATTAATGAATTTACTTGAACAATTTTCATATCAATACTTAAAGTGATGTTGATACAGTAAGCCAGTCAGATGTGGCCAAACGTGAAGATTCAGCCAGTAATAACGTGGAACTTCGTACGTACGTACATCAGTTCGAGTTTCCATACCACATTAGCACAGAGGTGCAGTTATCGATTCAAATCCCGTAGTTGTAGAGGTAGTAAGAGTATAAGCAGTAATCGGAAAGATTAGGGTTTGAAGATGTTATTCAAGGAGTATAATACAGTGAAATAGATTTGGGAAGAGGAAAAAGGAAGGGAGATGAAGAATTCGGAAGACTATAATTTAGCAAAACACAAGGAGTGGATACACGTGCGCCATCGCAAACGATTTTGAGCCATTTCATTCAGGGTCTCTAACCATCGGTTGTTATCATCTCGCGGTCCCCAACCAAGTAGTCTACATCTACCAACATGGCTCAGTCCACTTGTCAGTGACTTTATGGATTTGTGCCATGTTTTGGTCTGGCATTACGAAGGAGAAAGTCGCATGCCGAACATGCCTGCATTGTTGCTTAGAGTGGTCAGCAGACTCTGCATTTTGTCAGCGTGTTCACTAAATAGAACTATGTCATCGGCATATTCTAAGTCAAAAAGTGAATATCCCTGGAACCCCTGGAAATTTAGATGAGGAAAGTGTTCTCTAAAAGCACGTCAACGACAAAGTTAAACGTGAAGATTACACGATGACGATCAGAAGTGACCTGAAGGACAAGTGCATATCATTGGCTAAGAAAACGATTGATTTTCTAAAGGCTAGAGGTGCATATATATGAGTATTCATGCATATTATTCGGTAGCCCAATATACTATCTCGGCCACTCTTGTGTTCTCGCTCAAGTAGTCAGTTGGGGGATTAGAGAGTAGTATCTGTATCAGATTTCGCACACTTCCCACCATAACATATATAATATTGGTTTACAAACTACACATATATGATTTAAATAAATATGGTCAACTTATAAGTGAAACGGTATTGATAAATGAAAAACCTTATATGTAACTTAATGTGTGAAAAATAAAGACACTCAGACAGTTCAGTACTATAACAAGTCAGTAAGAGTTACAATGAAATAACTTGTATTCCACAATTTCTGATCCAAAGTTTACAATCTGAAAATAAGGTCGCATAATCTCCAATCAATAAAAACCTTAAAAAAAATTAATTTTTAGGCTGTCATATCACAATTTCAGTGAATTCAAGTTATTGTATGAGATAATTTCTTAGCTTTTCAGTAAGAAATAATAACCAGAAAATTTGTAACATATCAAAATTGGAACAGTTTATGAATGATTATCGTGCGATATTACAAATGTACTGAAATTGGAAATATTAACCAATGGTTCTTACACTCAGTAATTAACAGATACCGTCTTCATCATGAAATCTAAAATTCCCTTATCCTAATATAACGCAATTGATTTGACACGATAACAAAAAAATGTTTTGAAATCTTGTGTTTTATACTATAAAACACCATTTCATTATCAGAAGGGGGTGCTGGCTCAGTGGTCTAATGGTTAAGCGCTCGCGAGCGAGACTGACAGGTCCTGGGTTCGAAGCTCACGGGGGGATCGTGGATGTACACTGTTGAGGAGTCCCATACTAGAACGAAACGGGTGTCCAGTGCTTCCACGTTTTCCATGGTTATCTAGTTTCAATCGACTCATGATTTCAACCATTTCATTACTTATTAATTAGTGAAATCGATGAAAGTTGTCATGTAAAGTGAGAATATTATAACTCACCTTCATGAATAACTTTTATATGTTCATTTAAATCGTATTTTGTTGTAAACTTTCTATCACAATGATTACATGTATATCTTATTCCTGATAATGAAGAAAAAAAAAGTGCGATAAATAGTACTAATATTCAACGTATTTGTATAAATTTAATATCAATATTATTTTAGGTTATATATCAGTGGATTAAATTGTTTTTAAGAAAAATATTATCTGAATAAAAGACTATATGGAAAACTAGAACCACTCGGGTAAACCTTAAGTTGATTAGTACTATATAAGGGATCAGCGTTGAACTAAAGTTACTTAAAAACATCTAGAAAGTGAGAAGTCATCTGTTATATTTCTGATTGAGTGATTAAATATCCTGTTACCATGTTAAGTCCGGTTCCAGGACCTTCCAGAAGCCTAAGGCCGTTTGAAATACTATAAACATCCTCGATTTTCTGTACATAAACTAACCTTGGAGTACAGTGTTTTTTTCCATTTCTCTCATTTTCGAACCCGGGATTATTAGAAAAGCTTAAGAAACTGATGCAAGAGTTCACTTAAAAGAATTATCAATTGTCAAGGATGATTTACGTACCTACTTTTCATTCAGACACTAATAAAATTCATCTTTGACAGTGTAATTTGACACATTATTCACTTAAATGAAATGGTTTTGTCATGTAGTTGCTTCCAATGGAAAATTGTTTCCAGGATTCTCTATTATTCAATGACACCTTCGAATAGGACCAACATTAACACATATGTAAGCAAGGTGAACACGAAAAAAAATTACATAAAAACTAACCTTCATGAATATTCTTGTAATGTCTATCTAGATTTCCTTTAAAAGAAAATTCTTTGTTACATACATTACAAGTATATTTCATACCTAGTGAAAAAAATAATAAGAATTTATAAAACATGAAAACAAACATTTTGATAAATGATTACAGATTATCACAATATAAAAACATATGCTACATATACACAGCATATATCACACAATTGTTCTACAATGAAGCTGTTGAGAAACTAGCACAGAAATCAGCCCCCAAATGCCCTGATACGGCCGAGAGTGGGGAGAGTCCGCTCTCCCTCAAGAAATGCTCTCACATGGCCACGCGTGTATAGCCTCTGCCAGGGAAGTCCTATTCACTGCCTTCTCGTGGCACTACTGTTGTTTACGAAAATGAGAGGACGAAAAGCGAATGTCCGGCGCTTTAACCGGATCCCAAACCAATGGTGTACATGGGCTCCAGTATCCTGAAGGAACAAATGGCGTATGAACCAATCTTTGGTCATCGGCTACCATGGGACTGCATCTCCTCATGATGCCCCACTGCCTTGTAGGTCAGACATTCAGGCCGAAGGTTCGGGGTGTGGCCCCCTAAGAAAACCACCTGCTTCGGTTTGGGCACCCGGGTAGTATCACAGCCCTTACACATATCAATTGAGATTTGTGTGGCGCATATGTATTTGGTCCCTCTTTGTACCAATACCTATGTGTTAAAATAAATAAATAAACAGATTAACTGTAGCATATATACACATGCATAACCTTTATAAATTCTTATTGATCCCAGTTGTCACAATTAATAAAGGTAAAAACATCAACAATTAATCACTTCATAGGTCATGATAATAATAATGTGTTTTAAATTCTCTACATATTAAACAGTTAACCAAAACCAGAAAACATCTTGATTCAGTGTTTAGTCAAAAAGAGGTTTAATTAATGAGGTCTCACTAACAAAAACAACTAATATTTCACGATTTGTCAACACTTGTGATAGTTAAATTAAACCACGTGTAAACCTGACGAGAGAATTGTATGACATCGTTTATACTATGAGATCTAAAAGTCCCGTATTCTATGATAACATATATCACTCAAAATGTTTTACCATGGTACATTAATTGTGAATAAGAAAAATGATTCAAAATTTGAGTGTTTTAAACACAAAAATCCCTACTTCATAGTTAACAAAAAAACGAAATTGGATAAAGCGTTTGCATTTTTATAAAAGTAAATGTGAAATTTAATTATTAGTATAGGGATATGGAAATGGTTGAATTTTTATTGAGATCATGAACCGATCAATTTCAGGCCACCATTGAAAGTCTGGAAGTGCTGGACGGCCGTTTCGTCACAGTATGGGACTCCTCAACAATGTGCATCTACGATCCCATACGCGGGACTCGGACCAAGGACCTTCGGTCTCGTACGAACGAATGACCTTTATGACCACTGAGCTGGGATCCAACGGTGTTAATATATAACTTCAACCAATCTACGATATTGCGTAATCTACATTAATACTGTTGAATCTCGGCTCAGTGGTCGTGGAATTTAATGTTCATTAACATGTAAAATAATGTGATTCAATGTGAAATAATGAGAATGTATACAGTAAATCAGTTTCATAGTAGCGTAAATCATTATCCACCACCAAAATTTACCTTTATGAATAACTTTTACATGTATACTTAAATTGCATCTAGATGCAAATTTTTTATCACACAGATAACATGGATATTTTTTTCCTAATAATAATCAGAAGAAAAAACAATTATTAAATATTAGTAAATGTTTTTAAAAGCGAATTCAATATGATAATCTGAAGTTATTTAATAATGGCATACAACAATACAAATGTAATTTTGATAAATCTGGTAGATGGACACTAATTTCGATTTCCCAACCGCTTCTAATAACTCCAAACTAAATCTACAAGGCAAATCGACAATAAGAGAAAAGGTGCAAAAAAGGAAAAGAACGCTTAGTTTATGTACTGAAAAACGATGGTAATTACAGTAATACATAAAACCATTGGGCGCTTATGGAAGTCTTTGGAACCATGCTGTATGTAGTGGTAGTAAAGGTAAATATCCAAGCAGAAACGTGACTTCACTTTTTAGATATTTCTGAGAAGCTTCTACTCAAATCCGATCGAATAGTGTTTCCAAGAGATTTCTAAACCCCTATAGACTTTTCCAAGGAATACTTATGAACTCGCCAACAAGTTTAAATAAGCATGTCAATTTCACAACAGAAAAATTATGAGTAGACTTGAAGTTATACTTATTATGTGGGGAACAGACCCGAATAAAGCATAATGTATGCAGATCGAGAAATAAAGACCGCTAAGACAAACTATGAGCGAGTAGAGAAGGAAGTATTAGCTAATGAATTCGCAATAAAAATGTTTCATAAAATGTTGTATAGTCGAAGCAAGAGCTCTAAAACTCATATTCTGAATGGTAAACTCCAGAGGGTACTGACAACTATCTAAATATCAACGTATCTTCCGGTTTGGTTAGTGATAGAAAAGTGTTTTGAAGAAATCTAGCTTTTTTTAAACACTAGTAAATATGACAATCATCACCATCCGCAAGCAACTTGAATCACATATTCACTAACAACCACTGAATTTTGGCGACGACAAACAAAAAAAGAGTTATTACAGCTCATCAAGGAAACAAGAATTAAAAACCAAGTTTTTACTGAAACTATTTCGGAAACAAATAGATAAATCATTTATTCTATCCAAATTAGACCAGTGGGTAGAATACTTGATTGAAAGTTCAGCCGGTATCCGGACACCCACTACCTCCAAGCAACTTGAATAATAGACTGATTCAAGTTCGACAACTGCAAAAACGATCTTCATACGGTGGTAGTACATTTATTAAAGGAAGACACTGGATGTCCGATGGTGAAGCCGAACCGACAGATACAAACCGTTTATCTGAGGCAACAGAAACATTATTATTTCAAACCATGGGCACAAATCGGCACTAAAATCTTCGAACAATCAATGGTGCATGAACATAATGAAGTCACTCGTTCTCGAGATAGACGAAGTTATAACGCTGCTTTATTGCCTTAAAGGGTTATCCAACCGAACTTCATGAGGTCACAGTATATAACCATACGTAAGACTGCTTTCAACGACGTTGTAAACAACATTCTTTTACAGTCAGATCAACACCAAGACGGTGCTAAAGATGGGTCATATTGATATTCACTACGAGAACTTTTATCTCCTATACCACGGCACCAACAGTACTTACATAAGTACACGGATACAAAAACCTATTCACAACTTCTAATGCCTCACGACAAAAAGTGAGGCCACGCATAACCTCCAGTTAGTCTTCAGAAATATTTTGCATTTAGAAGGTATAAAGTATATGTCACTCCTAAATACACTGATTACCAACCAATTAAAAGAGATTTACTTCGGCTTTTTATAATCACACAGTTAGTCATCGCATGCTCAAGACCGGAAATAGATCATCTAGATCATTACTTAGTTCCTTTAGTCATTTTCAGAATATCGTCGATGGCAAAGCTAGAGAGAATCGCTGAGATTGGGCAACCCTGTCTAAGGTCACAAAACTTTAATAAAAGTTTACGAAATGTTGAAAATGACATCTTTTTAAGTTAGGCATTGAATGAGACATGATAAAAATGTATACAACATACAACTAAGTAGTGAAATACCATTATCATTAGCATAACTCACCCTCATGAATCACTTTCACATGTTCAAGTAAATAAAATTTAGATGCAAACTCTCCACTACACTGATTACACGCATATTTCAAGTCTGACAAGAAATAAACAATACTATTGTGAATTAATCGATAACGGAGGTGACGTAGGTGCTAGATATTCATGAGTATTAGTTTTCTCGTTAAAATTAAATACTTCATTTGATAAATTTTCAATTGGCATATGCGCATTCGGAACGAATTCTTTCGATAATTCCTCCCGTTACAAGTAATTAATCAAGTTGGATAATAGATAACAGTGGGATCCAAGTAATGAACTTCGTCCTATGTGGGACTCGTCAGTTGGATGTGCTTATATTTCATTGTTGATGTTCACATTTAAACTTGAAGACATTAACTTTCGCTCCAAACAATGACGAGTTATTTACTGAGCTACAAAGTTCAGATATCCACGAACTAATTCAATGATCATGAAGTTATAAAACAATAAGCATTTCAGTTTTCGCATTATCGGCACTTTGTTTAAAAAATTTATGATTACATTCTTAGCGAACAAAAAGAACTTAAAACCCAGCACAACTAAAATGACGAACACCCGTATAATCACATGATATTTTTAACAACCAATAACATCAATAATACAAATAGAAAGATAATTCAAAAACGGTTTTCTAACTATAAACAAAAGTCATTAGCTGAACCTTTTCGCATATTGCTAAATACAACTGTGATCAGTAGAAAAGAAGCGCCAATAATCCATGCAACTTGAACTATCTATCTAAAGAACTCCATTTTACTTGTTGAAATCTTACATTACTGATCATGAACACATCAAATTAAACAGTCCACAATGCAAATACGATATATCTCACAATCACTCACGCAAGAATGAGTTCAAATACGTCTTAATTAGGATCAACTTCCCCCCGAATGACGTAAAGTCAATAGAGACATCTCAGTGTTAAATGTTTAATTTGTTTCACTTTACTATTTAAACCTCAGCTAATTTGATTCGGTTATCAATTAAGTGACGAAACAACCAACACTAAATCACGAAGCGTCAAATACTCAGTTTTATACTCTGCGGGATATTATAAATGTTAAATTTGTCAAGCGACAGCAGTAACAAATCATTGGCTAGTGAGTGCAGATAAATAACAAGTAAGCGTAACAAAATAATGTTTACTTGAATTTCAAGCAATGATAGTTTGTAATTCGGGCGAATGAATAATTTTTTGGCTTATAATTTGGCTCTCAATCGTTCAATCAGATAGTATGTAGTCTACGTATTACGTCATCTAAACGAATAACTTAATCGCACAGTGTATCCAACCAGTGCGCAGTATATTATCCAGTCTAGTGTTAGTATATATATGCAAGTCAAAGATCATTATCACCATTATAACTCACTTTCATGAATAGATTTCACGTGTTTATTTAGATGAGATTTACTCGTAAAAGTTTTATCACATTGAACACATGGATATTGTATTCCTAATAAAAAATTATTATTATTATTATTATTATGATTATTGATAAATGTACTTATACAAATTTAATATAACTCTAATGTACCCCGCATTGAGTAGCCAACAAAACAAATCACTTATGATGCATTGCAGTTTTTATCTTGATCCGCATGATAACATTACTTTTGATTCCTAGTTCAAACATTATGAAAAATTATTTTGTGATAGATTAGCTAATCAAGTTGATACATAGAGGATAACAAAATTGAAGCATGAACTTCGTATCTGTGATCATGTAAAGCGATCAAATCTTAAATGAGTATAGTATCTGTGTTATTGTAATTTTAAAAACACTGGTACAGACACACATACGACCTGAATAATAACAATTGAAAACAAGAACTATAAACAAATAGAAAACAAAGCACTAAATAACATGTTTGTGATCAAAAAGATTCATAAAATAGAGTGTGGTCCATATTTTTTTTTTCGGAAGTCACAAAGTCCGAACTAGCCATTTCTAGCTCCAATAAACGAATTTCCCAACATTCAATAAGCCAATTACAAAAGTACACTACATGTCTGATGGACTGCAACATACATAGGATTTCGTCCAAGCGTACTGTCTGTTACTTTTTTAAAGTACACATTCGAAGCTACCTAATAAACGTGCTTCGAGCTACACTAATCAAGACTGCACATAATAAAAGCGCGACAAGACTTCACATGACAAAAAGTTATAAAATACATAAACCATAAATAACCAACAAAACCACACAACGGTAAATCACATAACCTTTACCAACAAAAACACGGTTCGTCCGTTATTGATTTACGGCTGTTTCCCAATCGAATGATGGTTGATCATGGTGATAGCATAGCGATAAATAAACTGATCAGAATAGACTAAAAGATCATGAATTAAGTCAGACACTGCAGCCGATCTTATTGAGAACTACAGAACTGACTTCACAACCAAGGACACAAGCACAGACGCCATAGTCACGTGTTCACGCCGATTTTGAGAGTCAACAACTGTTGGGGTATTCAGAAAATACCCCTGAAATTATCTAATGCTATTCCTGAATGAGAAATGGTGTCATTTCCCTGTTGGTTAAATCATGTACAAATGTTACTTTCTATTTTATGGTACGATGTAGTCTGTTTGTTTGGTATATAAATAGAGTATGTTTGAAATATAATGATTCATATCACAGAGGCTGAGATTTGCGTCCTGGACTCAACTGGCTGGGCTAGACAGGGAAGCAGGGCCAATCAGAACTCTAGGCTGTTCTTACGTGTTTACGCGTCTTTGGTCCGATCGATAACTCACTGTCTTCCAATCCGCGCGCATCACAACATATAACAATTGGCGGGTCACAAGTTATAACAACAACATTAAATAACTGATGCCAGTTGATGCAACTCCAAAATAGCCAGTAGCCATCATCATGACTTATATAATAACATCTTCCTATAGTTAGGAAAGGAAGACGAGAAATTGCATGATGCATTAAACCATCAAGCCGGATTTGAGACCTCTCTTACTCTGAAGATGAATGTTATGTCGGTTACTGTTATGTCTGTGAAATTAACTGGTATCACTTGTTGGGTTCGCCAACCAGAACTTCGGTCATAATCCTTTTCCACTCTGAGTATACTATCACACCCATATCCTAGCGCCCTCCGTCTTAGTCAACGATAAATTCTGACCGATACAATTAATCGTGACCTAGCATAATTTCCGCCCCGAGTGCTTCCCCGACAAATATGCCACCTTCTATTCCCAGCCTTGAGTCAGAAAGAGAAGACTACAACCAAGCTTCTACTTTTATCTTATTTCAACCATCCAGCTCAGATTCTAGTCATAGCACTCATTAGCTCATATACATGAAATACCAGACATCACACCATAAGACAAAAAATGATAAATACACACAAACACGTCAAAAATGTCAGTGAAATGGGGGATGCCTCAAATAACTGGTCTGTAACAAATCGGAAATAATAAGACGTTTAGTAATACTTAATGACTCAAACGGAAGATGACAATAAATAGAATATAGAAATATGGTAGTTCAGTTATTCACTAATTATACAGTAAAAGTACAGACAAAAATAATCTGAAATATAGTTCCAAAGGTTCTAACTTCTCCAATACAAGTTCCGTTAAAGTAATCGAAATTTAGAAAACAACATTAAGTAAATGCTTTACAATCCAACCAGTAAAAATTCTGATGAAATGAAATTCAAGAGACAATAGAGTATTCGGATATGTATTATTTCTTAATATTTCCATCACTCAAAAAAATTTTTATTGATAGCCTGTTCGGATTTTTAAACTGTGCGAGTATCATCGAGTCAAGCTTCAGAAAACTAGCATCACAATTAGAGGATTCTCAAGGACACTCTTAAACACGTACAAACTCTCGTCCACTCAGTTGACCATTAAGAAAAGGTTCGTTTTGAGAAAGCTCGATATGATATCAAAACGCCAGTGATTTTCATCAGCGAATTGAATCACAAGGTGACAAAAATACCGGTGGATTTCGGTGGCATCTGCATAATTGACAGATACCCGAAAACATATCTTAGCAGACACAGAGAACGATGAAAAACGAAGACGACTCTAAGGTAGACTAACAAAAATTGTACGCAGTGACTGCAAGTAATGCTGAGTGACGAAAGTAAAAGAGGTAGAAAAGGTAGTGGGGACTAGCGACATAACACATTAAAAAAATAGTAATTGAAGTACCAGTTGTGAGATTACATCAGATATCAATGGAGCCGCAACAAACCTAGATGATATAAACACAATGGAAAGGTCGGAAATTGACTTGAAAGAACGAATTCCAGTGATGTTTAAAAAATGGAGAACATCGGATACTGCTACACCTAGAGAAGTGCCAACTTCTCTTACATTCGATCAAGTAATTTATGTTAGATTAACAGGGCCACTGATTCGATCGAGGAAACATTTAAGCCATTCAAAAATTGGATCCAACAAGAAATATTACGTCATTATGAGCATTCCTTGGAATGATAATTCATTACCGAGTTTTTGTTTCTGCACGTGATGAATACGCTACATTAAATCAATTATTAAAATAGAGTACTCAGTGACATTAGTCACTAGAATGTGAACAACTGAAATGATAACTATTAAAAGTTTACGACATAAACCGTGAAAATAATGAAGCCTAAACGTACTGGATTTGATCTCATATGAACCTGTGTGGATGTACTGTAAATAACACCTAAAATGTAAACAATCAATGATCTACTACACTTCACGGTTCCCAGTGATCTATCAATGGATATCAGTCTCGCATAGAAACCTAATACAATCGAACAGGACGATCTCCACAAATCCCGTATCCCTACATAACACATTTAGTCTGGTTTAACATATATGGCACAGTACATGGAAATATAATTGAATGTAAACGTAAAAATGATTTCAGTAAAAAAATGCTTATTTAACAATGATTTGATGAGAATGTATACAGTATACAGTTTCAAAGTTAAATATCATTACTATCAACACAATTCACGATTATGAAAAACTTGAATATGTTGAGTCAAGTTGGATTTACAAGCAAACATTTTATTACATTGACCGCAAAGATAATTTATTCCTAGTAAAAAAAGATAATAATTATTATGGGTGGTACATTTACTTGCATAAATTCAACATCAATATGTAGGATCATGTAAGAAAGGTTTACAGTACATTTTATTTAAATATGTCCATTTCACAAGAGAAAGAACACGAACGAATGAACAACCGCTAGTGTAATAGACTTTTAATCATATTGATTGTATAGGTAGTAAAAACTCCCACGGCGATTGAAAGTCAGGTACGTTAACAAGACAATTACAGCCACAACCTCTAATTGACTTATATAGAAACGTAACGTCGAAGATTAATATTTTCTACATATTACAACATAACTCAGTGATAGCTCAACAGTGCATGCCACCAAACGCCCTGGTACGGCTGAGGGTGGGATGAGTCCGCCTTCCCTCTCGAAATGCTCTCACATGGCCACGCGAATAGAAACACTACCATGGAAGTCCTACTCACTGTCTTCTCGCCACAGGGGTGTTGCTTACGAAGTTGAGAGGACGAAAAGCGGATGTCCGGTGCTTTAACCGGGTTGTTGAACCCTCCGCGTCTACCTAGGGGAGTTGGAAAAAAGTGATTCTAAACTAATGGTATACATGGGCTCCAGGATCCTGAGGGAAAAAATGGCGTACGAACCAATCATCGGTCACCGGCTACCATGAGGCTGCATCACCTGACGTTGCTCTACTGGCTTGTGGGTCAGACCTTTAAGTTGAAGGCCCTGAAAGTGGTCCCCTAAGAAAACCACCTGCTACGGTCTCGGCACCAGAGCAGTATCACAGCCCACAAATCAAGTGACTTGTGTCGTGCATATGTATTCGGTATCCCTTTGTACCGATATTTATGTGTCCAAATAAATTAATTAACTAACAGTACAAACTATTTAGACTATAAAAACACGAAAATATTATTTAAAACTCGAGACTCAAAGACCTGAAAAGGTTTGTCGATCACTGCATGCATGTATCAGCTAGGATACTGCCCGTATCCGCAAAGCGAATCATGTGATTTGATCAGACCACCACTCTGCATCCTTGACACAAAACGTCTATTCGGCAAGCCAGAGAAGTAACATCAGAAGATACAATCTCACAATAGCGAGTGATCAGAAAAGATTCTTACGTTCATTCTCTCATGATCCTAAAGATAGTACATACTATTCTTTTCGGATCAGTGTTTTCCGACAACATTAGGTGAACACTTCGAAAGTATAAACCAGTTAAGAGTACCAGACGCTCTCTCTTCGTTCACTTATTTTGCTAAATCACCTTCCAATGTAATGGCAATCAACAGTACTTTCCCAAAACAGTCAACTTTCTTTCGACCGTACCACATTAATTGGTTACTATAAACTGAACATGTTATTTTATGTCGACTGAAGTTGCTAATCATTTTCG